TGAGTTCCTTGTTTTTCAATGTAGCGTAGTATTCCATTGAGGAAGAAGGGTTTTTATGAGAGGAATGTGGCATCAAGCTTGGAGGAAGATTCATTAACAACCTACAGTATGCAGATGACACAACCTTGCTTACTGAAACTGAAGAAGACCTGAAGCATTTGCTGCAAAAGGTCAGGGAATATAGCCATCAGTATGGGTTGAAGCTCAACATCAAGAAGACAAAGATTCTCACCACTTGGCCAATTGGCAGCACCATAATGGAGAAGAGATTGAGATTGTTAGCAATTAAAGCTTGCTCAGATCTACAATCAATATTCTTAACATCAACAGTCAGGAAATCATAAGATGAATTGCATTGGGAAAATCTGTTGTCATGGACCTCTCCAGAGTGCGGAAGAATAATGATATCAGTCTAGATACAAAGGTGCGCCTAATCCAAGCCATGGTCTTCTCAATTACTTGTTATGCTTCAGAGAGATAGACAATGACTAAAGACGACAGAAGAGTCGATGCCTCCGAGTTGTGGTGCTAAAGTCTTGAGCATACATGGACTGCCAAGAAAACAAATCAATCTGTCTTGGAGAGGGTGAAACCAAGTTTCTCCTTGAAGGCTAGGATTTTGAAGCTCTGCCTCACTTACTCTGGGCACATGGTCAGGAGAGATTGGTCCTTGGAGAAGGACATCATGCTTGGAAGAGTGGACGGACAACCCTGGATGAGATGGATTGATATAGTAACTGGAGAAATGGGGGTTGGTGTGTCAGAGTTAGTGAGACTGGCTCAGGACAGGGAAGAATTCAGACCTGCTGTACATCGCAGGCCACTCAATGACACATAACAACGGCAACATACTATGACAGGTTTGAAAGCAGGAGTGGCATCCACTTTCTAAACAACATGTCTCTGGAAACTCTATGAACTTTGATAAAATGTGGGTGATTGTAGAGGGGCTTCAGGCTATTTGTTCATGAGTTCACTATGGGTTATGCTCGACTTGAAGCCAATCAACTCTGTGTGTGTGTGTGTGTGTGTGTGTGTGTGTATAATATGTGTATATATGTATGTGTGTGTATATGTATGTATGTGTGTATATATATTATTATACTAGTTTATTTGCCGAATTGGAATACATTGTTTTAAAGACCAGATTCTTTCCATTTCCCTCACATCTCCCCACCCATCAAATCATACAAC